AAAATTTGTTGACATGATTTGTGGCATATATTTGAACACAAGCGTTCGTGTACACAAAAGTGTAAAGTGTATATCAAAGTTTTTTAAAAGTGCTATCAATTTAAATTATTGATTTTTATAGACCAGCATGGCTCGTCATATTATGATTATCTATTGTCTAGTGGTTATTGGCTTATCGATGGAGAAATGATATGCCAAACAGAACATGACCTTACAGCATGCTAAAGGTGAATCCAGTAATACAATCCAGTGTTGTGTTATCGCTTTTCTTATTTTATGTAAATCATACTAAACTTCATGAATAATTGTGCCTGACACACTGATTTAAGCTAATGTTACCTTTGCATAAATCTGAAAATTCAATGAAGTACGTATGTCAGAGGCCTGTTTGTCGTTTTACAATGCTAGTTACAATTAATGCTTGTAGAATTGTGTGAAACAGATTGTAATACTAAGCCTATACTAATTCTTAAAATGGTTATTTTGCAAATCTCTTGAAAATGTTTGGTTTGGTTTCCGGCTAATACGGTGAACTCCCAAATACTTTTCTTCGAGAAAATTTCTCTGAGTAAGTTACCACAAAGCCGCAATTTCGTTTCTCGTTGTTAAATTTAAGACTCAACGATCATAAAGAGTCAGTCAAATCCAGTGACGTAACATTCGAAATCACCAGAATATTTCATGTCCCTCTTTCGGTTATTAGGGCGTCGTCATCAAACATCTTCGCACATCTAACATCCATTATCACTGGCAATAATTACTATAAATTAATTCTTGTAGGTACCATACCACAACCCCATTGGTTCAGAGAGATTGACAATTCCTTGAAATAGCTCTTGTGTTCTATAATTCTGATTTCCCGCATCTGGTAGATAGGCATCCAATGGAATCGAATAAATTATATCATGCACTTATGATTTATTTTATGGGAACTTTTCAAATTTCCATAAACTAAACAATTGGGTAGTGCTGGAACATATTCTGTGTTAGAAAACCTACAATCACAGGAAATAGTCTTAAATGAATCAGTAATAAGAATTTATAAAGATTAAAAACTGAAAAATCCGGCAACCTGAATTGGCACGTAATACAATTTATTCGTTTTGTGGCGCATCAATGCTGCCTAAAAAAACCAGATACCATAAAACAGTGACCCACATAGTTTAAAGTAAAGTAAAATCGAAATAGGAAAATGGGTATCTCTAATCATATTCAATTAATATAATATAAACAATAAAATCTATAAGCTTCATCAGTTTTTGTTACGGTTTGTCAAGAATCCTGTCTTTTTTTAAAAGAGATAGGCCTGTGATTCTAGAATTAAAAAAATGCTTGGGTAGGTTTTTAATTTTTAATTTTTTTTTTTTTTTTTTTTTTTTTAATATATATATATATAAGAACACATTTTCATAAGAACAACACGAACCTTAAATTGCGTAAAATAAGAACAAATTGAGGATAAGCTAAAATATCAAATGAGGTTTTATTTTGTTTTAAATCAGAAAAAAACCAACAAATCTTGCCTTACCTTATGAGCAGTTTGTTGTAATAATACCATAATACAGTACAATATTAATATACTGCTATACAAAATAAGAACATTTTGAGCCAGAAATCGGACAAAAAAAAATAGGAATACTGAGCCTGGGAAAATGTTACTGATTCTTAAAAAAGTGTACTTTATCAGAAATCTTCTTACAGGAGGGCAGGTTTATGATGAGATTATTCGATTGGTGTATTTCTTAATTGATTTTAGGCCAATTATGAATATTAACATATACATTTATTAATTCAGAATTTATTAGTTTCTTACCAATCAGCCAAACTTCCAAACACAGCGGACCCAAATAGAACTCCGCCAAAGAAAATGGACTGTGAGAGGGCTGGCTTTGACTTGTCGCTACAGACAAGGTCCCACTTTAAGAAAACAAACACATTAATAACATTATGAAAAGTACCGTAATTTTAATTACGTTATACACTGTTTAAATTATAAATACTACAATTTTAAAATAATAATGGTAGTACGTAATCCCACTACTAAAACGAACTCCCGATATTAAATTTTAATGCTTTGCCCCAACCTCCACATAAATAAATGATGTGAGGACTTAAACACAAGAGTTTTCTGCAGAGAAATTGTAGTTTGCAAACTCACTTCAGTAACAATAAAATTACAATGAGTATGCTAAAGTAAAATAAATCAATATCAATCATTATATTTACGGGCAGTTGTGTCAACTAAAACGCAATGTCCACGAAGAAGTCAAGGAATGAATTTGATGTTTCTTATGATTAATAGATAGGCCTATTGAAAAAAAAAGAAAATATATATGCCTACCTCATGAATAATAGTGGTCTTGTACTGGGTGGTATCGTACTCCCAACTATGGCAAGCTTCAAGGGGCCAGCTGGGTGACGGAACTTCCCCAGCTAGAAAAGACTCCCCAGTAGCATTCTTATACCGGTAGCAATGATGCTCGTCATTATCAGCATCTGAGTCGTCATCCTTTGGTGGTATCATTGATGTGCGCTTTGCGTTTTCGCATTGCTCACTGGTGAGGTTCCAAGACTCCGGGCAAACGATACCATCGAGTTGTGCCACGGAACACCAGTGGTCCGTCTCTGCAGCTAAAAACACTTGTGCAAGTTGATGGATAGAGCAAGGTATTGCTATAAGACAAACCATGAAATATATACGCTTCTGATAGACACCGAAATCCCCAAGATATCCTAGTACGTCATCGAACTTCATTTTGAATCGTTTATGGTCGTGCGTCGTCGTACTTCACTTGTATGTCATGTTGTCAACATAAAAGAGTAGCGTTTTATATGCAGTGCCACTTTTCTAGAGTTTTATTACTGTATTTATGGGTTGTTCCATTTTGTCAAAAGGGTCCAACGATAATAATATTATCAAACATTAGTAACCATACCACACACAGTATTAATAGATCAAAAGTACTTCATCGAATCAATGCATGAGTTGTCGAATACAGTAAAACATATGGCAGCTAAGTAAAGGCTTCTACTATACAGTATGATCCCACCGTACTGCATGATCATAGGCCTCGTCTAACGATATGTTACAGTATTTATGATGGTAAATATTTGTTACGCATCACAAGTCTATGCGTGAAACGAATTATCACGAATTCCAGGGGCGGATCCAGAAATGTCCAAAGGAGGGCGAGGGGGGGGGGGGGGGCGAAAGTTGGGCCGATTGAGACAACACTGTCGTAAGTGGTCCGGGGCATGCCCCCGCGATATTTTTGTGTTCTAGACGCCCGAACAGAACCTCAGAAATACCGAGTTGGTGTCCGGCGGGGGATAGTTTTTACCATATTGTAGTTAATTACCAAATTGTAGTTAAGTTGTAGTTAAGCATAACCTTGAGCTGTAATTCCAGGCCCCGAAACCTTGACTCAGAAGTACCGGGTTGGTGTCCGGCGGGGGATAGTTTTCCACCAAAGTTTTAACTGCTGTTTATTTTGTTGTACTGTGATGGTTACTTTGTTGTTATGTAATATGTGTTTGCAGGACCATATTGTAAAACAGCGGTAAGATCTCGCCTGTATATGTTATCCTGCCTAAAGATGTTTTTAAATAAATAAAAAAAATAAATAAATTTTTAAATAAATAACATTTGAGGCATTCTGGGCTATCATTTTTTTTCTTTTTCTCTCTTTTTTTTTTTTTTTTTTTTCTTTTTTTTAACCTCCCAAAGGGGGGGGGGGGCGTGGCCGGGCCCCCACCCTAGATCCGCCCCTGAATTCAGTAGTAAATGTATTTAAAACTAGAAGAAATTTGTTATATTAACGATACTAAAATGGACATGCAGTAACTTGAGTCATTAGAGAGCTTTCGTTATCTCATTCGAGAATAATTCCAACGACAAAATTTCTTTTTCTCTACAAAAACCCAACCAACCACGCACTTAGACTATGAGGCGCGGGAGGTCTTGCGAGTTAATTGCTAAAACTGTTGATTATATGACTAAAAGGCAGGGTTTTAAACCACCGTGGTTCCGCCCCTGGACATCGGGATCTAGTGGCCCTCGACCGTAAGAGACAGCAACATTTCCAGAAATGTCTATCTACTGAAATGTTTATTGAAGACATGAATGGAATTATGAACAAAAGATTGTCTACAACGTTTAGTGTTTTGATTTAAGGTGATTAGTCTGCCAGTTCGGCTTTGTTTATAGTACTTATTTAATGGGTGATCAGGATTCTCGCAGATTTTTTTTAACTGTGCGGAGTATGTCCATTTCATGTAACTCATCCAAATTTTCAGGATTTTCCCCAGTAATTTTGCTGGCCCACTTTACTATTTTAAATAATTTATTTTTTTCAGCTTGTGTAAGATTTGAGAACCAAACAATGGAACCAAAGAGCAGAACACTTCTAATTACACTTTTGAAGAAAAGATTTAAAATTTCACAGCTAATATTGCATGTTTTTAGTTTTCTTAGGAAAAACATCCTTTGACTAGCTCTTTTTGTAATTGATAAAGTGTTTGCTTCCCAGTTTAATGTTTTATCAATGACAACGCCCAGGTTTCACAATTTCAATGTTTTGATCGTTAATGGTGAGAGCATTCGGTACTCTGGTTTTACTGCGTCGAAAATCAAATATGAATATTAAGCTCTCCTGGACTAACAAATAGAACCCCTCCTTTGGGACACCCCTAATAAGAGAATTTGGTCACATAACAAGGAAAAGTATATATTTCTATAATAGCACTACGACCAACCCCTATCCATGGGAAAATTAACCCTAATATGGGAAAATTCTTTTAGTACCGAAGGTGTCCCCTTAATAGGGGTTCTACTGTATTTGATAATGCAGGGTGAGGCCATACAAAGACACCTTCAATTGGATTGAATTCTTATTAAATTAAAAAGCTGACAACTTATCCGGTTAACATCTAGTAGTCTGTTGATGATTTGACAATAATTATGACAATAAAATTAATATAGTTTGCCATTTTACTCCTTTTCTATTTTATTCTATTATAATTGATTACTGCTTGTAATTTTTATCTGTAATTATATATGACGAAACGCAAGTTCTTGAATTAAAAGAGACTGGTAACGTACAGTTTGCAATATTTCTTTATATTTTCGGGTTCCTATCATTCTAAACTTTATTTAATTTACTAATAGGGTAATTGATTGTCAATAAATAGTAGGGATATGTGTTATATGCCTAATTATATTAATTATAAATTTATTGGCAGAAGAATGAAAAGAAAAATGAATGAAGATCAACAAAAATAAAAGGACATTGGTATAGTTTATTACATTATCAACAATAAAGCTCATATATACTTTTAAAATCCTTATAGACTTCACTTCGATTATAACACATATAATATTTTACCAAAGTTAGTTTGTTTGTAGGTTGTTCTGTTTCCATCCGACGTCGATAGGTCTAAACCTTTTGTACAGTAGTAGGCCCGTATCAGTGTGGCTAATAATGTGTTCCTCTCTGGCACACTTTTGAATAGAGGCTTATTCGGCTACGTAAATGGTAAATTTTCTATTATCTTAGACGTCAATTTATTATTTATTCTGCTAAGGGAAAGATATTTATCCTCATCTATGTCAATCCGTTACCTTATCAACTTTATTGAAATTATCCGATAACAAAATTATAATAACAGAACATAATTGTACAGTAATGTGTACTCTGTACAAAAAAAAATGAGAAAAAATAGACACCACGAAACGAAAGAAACAAACAACCAGTACGTGTATTTAATGTTTTATGTAAAATAATAAAATTGATTGAACAGATGAAAACTAATTTTTGAGCTTACCGCGATAACTGCTGCCCTCTATAATATTCTCGCGCACATGTATGTAGCAAATGGTAACTACGACTACGCTTACAGCAGGCATTGAACTTAAAGTTTTCATTCGTTTACAGGCATTTCAGGTATTTAATTAAATATTGAATGACGTAAAATTTGGTAATGAGGAGTGTTATTAATAAAAGAGTACAACATATACAATCTATGCCATCCAGGGTGTAGCCTAGCTAGGCCCTGTACTACTAGGCCTAGTACTACTAGGTCTAGCTAGTCAGGCTTACCGGCCCACCCACCCAGGGAAGGCCAACTCAGCATGATAATAAAAGGTCCTACAGGGCCTAGTACTATACAGACTATAGCCTAATAAACTAGGCTAGGCCTATAAATTATTACGTGTATATATGTAGCGATTACCAGACTGTAATGTAAGTTAGGGCCTGCGCTGGGAATGTACAGTAGGTCTGTAGGATGTCAAATTGTGCACGCTCTTCCTTGCACAGTTTGCAAACTCGCTAGGCAAAGACTTCTTTGCACAATTTGAAAAATTTAGTAGTGGTAAATGCAATTTTTTCCCCCATTGTGTGCTACATACCGACCGTTTCCCACACACACATGGTCTGTCTTTTATCATTGCAGATTTTCTGATCGCTTAAAACATTGAAATTGTTGTACAGTATTCACCGTATATACATTATTAGGCCATATGTTCAATCATAAATTATCTTGAGCACATATTAAATGTCACATTTTACAATAATTGCTGAAAGAACCCTTACTCAGTTTGCATACTGCATGCACAGTTTGAAACGGCTTTGAAACAACATCAGCAACTCAAAATGAGGAAAAAGAACAAGAACGTGCCAATTTTAAAATAAAATATTAGACCTTGACCTATTTCTTTATTCTTGATATAAAGCTATATATGAGTTATTACAATAATTTATTTTCTTAGTGATTTTCCACGCAAATTTGAGCTATTCCACATAATTAAATTACTTTACGGGGTGGAGGGTGAGGGAGTATACAATACAACAGGGGAGGTAAGTAACAGCTTTTGTTGGAAGAAGCAGACAATCAGTTGTTAATGGATGCAAGTTCATGGCCTTTACAACATCACCTAACGCAATTATACAATGTCGCAGTGCATACTACTAGACCTAGCCAGTAATAGTGGTACTAATGTGTTTAAAGCACCATATGATTGGTTTGAGTGTATCTTAACTATAGTGGCAGACCGTAGGGTAAATTGCAGGGTATGCTATGTAATTGGCATATCTAGGAGGATCCCCCTATATAAAAATGCTCACCCATCCACTGCCCACAGATCATGCTCAAGTAGTTTAATCAACTCAAATCACATTATTTTGCATGTTATCCCCCTCACCTAATCACCGATTCCCACTTCTTATTTGTTTTAGCCAGGGTATACATCCTGCATACCTTGCTTGCCTTGACGGTCCGCCACTGCTTAACTAATCATCACTGTACAGATATGATTTAATATAGTGGCGCTTATTTTCGACCATAAATTATGTAATACAATATTAGTCTCTGAATTGCATTAAGTGTTAAAGAGATATTCACTATATTGAATCTAAAACTAAATAGGCCTATATGTTTTTGTTTTTTTTGGTTTTTTTTTCAGATCATTTTGAACATTTTTAATTTGCAAGCCATGTGATGTTAAGTAATAATGTCATCAGATCAAAGAGGACTACATGATGTATTGGAGGGCCTTTATGTTGCCCACAAATGTGATATTGACTTATACTGTTCAGGTCATTTAAATCATAATCGACTACGAAAGCCAAAAGAGGTGGCGACACATAAGCCATGGCAAAGCTACTCCGAAGATGTAACATTATTGCGTCAGCCTAGTAAACTCCCCTCTCCTAGAAGATCGGCAGAGAAGGAGAAATACATGACGCAGGCTTTATATGACTTCAGCATTGGTACATCGGGCAGCCTTCCCTTGCCTGGTATAATAGGCAGCCAGAAAGAAGGCCTTCAGACGGCTTCATGCGATAGTGATAATAAAGGACATACAACTAACAGAGAAAAAAACACCGGCAGTAGATTAAGACCAAATTCTGTTGCCTCATACATAAGCGATGGTGCGTACATCGAGGAACTGGATGTTCCGGATTTGATGCTTCCTGTCAGTGGTATAAAAACTCATAGAAAATCACAGTTGACTGATCTCTCTCTGGTTCAAAATGAGCGTCGAGAAAAATATGAGAAACGGCAGTTTCTATCAACACATTTGAGTGCCATTACGAAGAAGGATCAGTTTGCGAAAATGAGAGAATTCGATAATACGGTGCTGAGGAAAGCTGAAACGAGGGAGCAAAGTGTGTTGTCGGGAAAGCAGGCTGTGCAACATCTAGAAAGAAAACTGCAACAGGTTAATTTTTATAAGCTGCATTCACATCTAATCTGAATTTTCGGACCAGAAGGCCTACTCAACCGATGAGAAAATCAAAACAGCGCATTTTGAAAATTGGTTTGAGTTTCGGTTCAGATCCGATGTGAATGCACATTTATGTTAATGAAATGTGTAGAATACTTCATGCTCTGTTTAGAAATGTAGGCATACTATCTTGTAAACAAGATACCAATCTACTGTATGACTACATTTTAGTTTAAATTAAATTGTACAGTAATGTGCATTTTCAGGTCTGTTGATGTAGGTACATTGAATATGATTGCTTTGCTTTTCTTCATTCAACTAAAGTCTCTCTAATCTTATCCCTAACATTTTAAATCATCTTTCACTGCCTACAGTAGTACTATTTCCATTTTTACATCCTACAATAAAGTAATTCCTCTCATCCATTCATCTTCCCCTCTTCATCTCTGTTCAGTCATGTTCAATGCTTGTATTTGTGTTCATTTCTTTCTGCATTTGTTATGTACTGTATTCTGAATCTACCACATTTTTCCTCCAAATCTACTACATCCTAAAACCATCCATCCTATTTATAAATTTAAAATTTTGTTTTTATCCTGAAAAAAATTATGCGAAACTAATTAACAACATGTTTCAACGTGTCAACACGTCATCACCACGCAATAACGCTTTATATACTACTGGTCAGATGTACAATATGATAAACAAGCACTCTTTTTAAATTTCTTTTTATATTTTCCAGAGCAAAATATATAGGCCTAGTTCTCATAATTCTGTGTAGTGATGTTTTCATGAAATGACAATGCATAAGATTTTTAAATAGCCCCCTCTAGAGGATTAGTCTTTGAATAATAATTATGAATATGAAAAGCTTTTATTGTTGGCAGCGTTTAGAGGAGCTGGGACACATGATGAGCTCTCCTAACTTCCATCGCCTGCAAGTGTACAGCGACATTTGGGATGACATGCTTCAAGATACTCCAACGTTCTCAAAGATTTTGAAAGCTATTAAGGTAGGAATTGAACTGTACCACTTAATATCATTTTCTGGTCTCTTACTAATATTGGCTTATCTAGTTCCGTATTATTTGTCACATTCAATAGGCAATGTTGATGTTTTTTCTCAATTAATTTAATTATGAAGCTCTATGTATCTCATAATTTGTAAATTAGTTTTTAGTATTAAATGCAAACACTACATGGCAGAATAGGTTACACAGTGTTGAGAATTGATGTAATAGACTTAATGACATCAAATATTGAAATGGTTCAAGCTAATAATTTGGGTAATTCTTGGATTTAAGATGTGTGGGCATAATTTGTTTATTGGCCAAGTTTAGAAACTTGAAGGAAACAGCCAGGGTACTGTATTGTAGGGCCACAATAAATGGCCTCACTCAGCACACTGCTGCTTGGCGTTCAATACAAAAACTCCTGCTTTAAACCAAAATATGACTAAGATATTAAATTTAAAAACAGACAGAGTAAAGACATAATTAACTAACATTACAACCCACAACAGACTTGCACTGTATATTTTATCCATGAGATTTATTTTTTATTTATTTAAAAAAAATTGTTATTTCATTCGCATCCAGCAATGAGTAACTCACCAGTTACAGAATGGGTGATGCTTTAATCAAGTCTCTTTATGAGGCCTGGAAAGGGGAATTTTTTTTAGATGGTAGAAAAAGTCCTGACTAAATAATATATAAAAAAAGTATAAATTGTATAAAAATATAAAAAGCACTGTATATAAATATGATAGAATTTCTTCAAGTAGGTCCACATTCATTTCAATTAAAATTTTAAGGATGGCTGTGAAAGACTCCAAACGATGCAGCTTCAATAGTGCCTCTAATTACAATTCAGATCAGCAACAATCTCAATAATTAGACAATCAATTGAATTATTTGTGTCATACATGTGTTGGTCATTTTTATTCACCTAATAATATTAAACGTAGTCTTGAAACCTACAGATTGACATCAATCTTTGCTGTAGTATCTTGCTTGGCTTTTAATTGAAGCTTTTAACAATACTGTACAAGTAATTACATTATCTTGTGCATTATTTCATAGTTTCCATTTCATAGCTGTGTTTTTTGAATATGCTGACACAATTTTGCCAACACTGGCATACTCAATCCAAGTAATTTATTTTTTTTTTAATGAGAAATGCTGAAGTCTTAGCATTTGTGTTTGTTTTTTATTGCCAATGTGAAATGTATTGATGTTTTAATTTTCTTTTTCAGTGAATTGAAACAAACACAGACATAAAGCATGACATTACAGCTGTTTATAATAATTTTTAAAAATATGTAAACTGTTGTATTATTGAAAATTACAGTATTTTCATGCATTAATTTTAATGTTTTTTACCCATACAAAGGTTGTAGAATTGTATTTTAATTTACTTCACAAGGACAATTTTTTAATAATCGTCATGTTACTAAAATTAAAAAAGAACTAGTACCAACATTGTTAATGGTCATACTTAACTGTTTAATTTTTTATTTTTGTTAAGTAAAATTCAGAGGAATTGCAGGGAAACGTTTAAACTTCTTGCTGGATTGAGACAGAATCCAGAGATGTCCGAAAGGGGGGTAGGGGTGGGGTTGCCGAAAGTGGGGAAGATTAAGATAACATCACTCTAGGGGGTCTAGGGGAATTCTGTGCGAAATTTTTGTTTTCTAGATGCCCGAAAATAACCTCCAAGGCGTTTAGGGCGATCAATTTTTTCTTTTTTCTTTGTTTCTTTTTTTTTTTAACCTTCGAAAAAGGGGGAGGATGGGCTAGGGCCACCCCGGCCCCCTAAATCCACCCCAAAAATGATCCTAGATACAAAATTAACAATATTAATTAACATACCGACTACAAATTAGCAATTTCAAAAATAATTTGTAAATAATAATCAACAATGGATAACTGATATTTCTGACCAGCCTTGGAAAAAAAATATTTGTGTCTCCGACCATGAAAGTTGTCTTGATAAAATAACTCCAGCACCAATCTGTCATACACTAATCCCCAAAAATGTATTTATTTTATTTTTTTCTGCCTAAAATTCCTCCGAGATATACATGATGCCTCCGACCGTCGGTCGTCACTTTTTGCAGCCTTGTTTCCTGGCGAATTGTGGAAAACTTAATGAATCATCTCTAAATTTCTATGGAAAAGTATATCATATCTCAACTGCATGAAGAAGGCCTGCCTTGCACACAGTTGCTTTTTCTTTTTAATTCCCTTATCAGAGAGAATTAATATATTTTTCATATATGTTTTTTCCCATTATAATTCAGCCTTGTGATTGGCTGAGAACATTTGACACAACATGACACATTTAGTGGTCAGTATTGCATCGTAAATGAATCGACAATGCGTACATGGACAATAAAAACAACAGAAATATAATGTTTATCAATTACGATAATAATTATCCATTAAACATACAACAGCGGCAGTAGTACTTAAACAAGAGTGATTGATTAGACCAACTCCCTGATTAGACAAAAAACAACTATACACAAAAAATATTTGAAATTCAGTGTAGAGTCTGTTAGTTAGCTGGCAGTTTTATTTTTTCACTTTACTTTGGACGTAAACCTAATGACCTTTCCGAAGTGTCAGTCAAGCTTAATAACTGACCAATCAAGACAGGTCAAAGAATATGTGTTTGGCACACAAACACATGTCGTTCTGATACCTTAACACCAATGAGTTGTGGGACCTAGCAACCAGAGCTGGAAAAAGTGTGCGACAAGCGGTTGGAGGAACCATGAATGTCCTGGAAGCACCATGAATGTCCTGGAAGCAATTTTGGGGGAAAAAATTTAAAAAAATAAACTGTTGGGCTATATTGTACAGATAACATTTGATGCTGGAGGAATTTTAGTGAGATAATTTTCATGGTTGAAGGCACAAACATTTTTTTGGGGCCTGCTAGCAACAATATTCAAATAAATGGAAATATGATTTTATTCAAAATCATAATTTTTAAGATTTGGGTCAATCAAGCTTGATTTTTATTTTAGCTTCTGAGGGCAAAAAAATTTGATGGAGAAATTTTATTTTATTTTGTCTCTCAAGGGTGAATATGATATCTATATGGGCTCCTTGCTAGACACTCAACCTCAACAGCAAAGTCAAGTACTGTACAAGCAAGTGCGAGGCTTGGCAGCCAGCGGTACATCAATACCGGGACAAGTTAAACATGAGCAAAACACAGTACAACAGATAGAAATGCAAGCTAAACAACTGTTACAAGACAATCAACGGTAAATAACTGCACTCTATTTTCGTTTCTGTTATTTACATTTCATTAATTTCAAATCGATAACAAATTTTTATGTTAAAATTATTGAAGATCGGTTAAAATTGAAGAAATTCCATATATATATATTATTTGATAATTTCTCAAATGCGAGGGAGGAAATTAAAAGTGTTGAACTCACTCTAGAGGATGTAAGAATGTATTTTGTGTGTCTATACCATTTTATTGCATCATAATTACCATAAATGCTCGCATAAGCGTCGCAGGACATATAAACTTTTTTGCGGCTTCAGTGCGGCACTTATTCAAGAGCGCCGCTTATAAAAAATATTGGCGTGGCGCTTTCTTTGCCCGTTTCAATGTTACCTATTTCACGTTTTCCGGTAATTCAGTAGGCCTATCATACTGTAGGTCCTATCATAAAAAAAAAACGTTTATAAGAAATGCTTGTGTCTTCATTGTTTTATTTATTCATATTAACACTGTATACATTGAATTTAAAACCCTGTTTCATTACACATAGGGTAATATTATATACTCTCAATTAAGCGCCGCGGCGCTTGTTCAAGACCGGTGCTTAACGGAAAAAATTATGTTTGGTGCGGTGCTCATTGAAGAGCGGCGCTTATTATTCAAGCATTTACGGTAAATGTCATTTGCTTCCCAAGCAAGATACATTAATTATATCTCTTACTGCTTGGAAGTAGACTTAAATTAAATGCTCTATACACTGGAAATAGGTCTTCTTCGGACTTTCGTGGGTTATCCTTGGTGTTTACACCGAATAAATCCATCCATTCATAATGTAACAATGAACTAATTTTGCTAAACTTTGCACTTTAGTTATATCTGAACTATAAATAACTCACATTTAGTCATGTTAGTCTTTTTATCATTTTATTTAAAATCACATGTCTAATGTACTATGGAGTAGGTTCAGGCATTATATAAAAGTAATTGATTAAGTGGATGTAGTTGTTAGGGTAACAGTGTCGTATTTAACTTCATAGAAAATTGAACTCAAGAGTTACTTTTGTTGGATCTGATCAGACAATTATTTATTTTGAACATGGTGATTTTCTATTAAATGCTGTTGCTAGAAAAACAATCTTATTAAATTTTATTCTACAATGTAAGTGCTGTTAGTGTTACACATTTCCTAATGGCTTATTAATCCTTGTAAAGCTACGGTATCAATTTGAACTAATTTTCTAAACGTCGCACTTCAATTTGCTAATAATTTTCTAATATCGAAAACTACAAGAAACAAACGAACCTGAGCGGCACCTCTTGATATATAGCGCTGCTGCGCAGACCAGATTAAATTGCTCTCCATGTAAGCATTTCAAATAGATTTCCCACTATATTGGGAAGCTGCTCTATCTTCTGCTATTTATTATCTTTAGCGACAGACGTAATAAAAATAACTTTTTCTTTCTTCTGAAATTTCCATTTTGTTCATGGGTGCGCTAATTGGCAAAAAAAGAGTTTTTTATTTGAAATTATCATCATTGGTGGGCAGCAAGTTTGTTAAACAAGGATTGAAAGGGAAGTCTCACTTTAAGTACCTAATATACTATGCAGTAGGTTCAAGCATTAGATGAAAGTAACTGATTGAGTGGGTGTAGTTGTTAGGGTGTAACAATGTCGTTTTATCTTCATAGAAAAATTCTCTTTTCTCGCCGAGAGTAACATTTGTTACTAATTGCACATTAAGAGGCTTTTCTTTTGATAAATATAATGATCGTCTAAAGGATGTTTTTTTTAATATAAAAACAATTTTTTTTAGCAATTTTGAGAAAGCAGCAAATTATGTTGCTCTATACTGTAGGTACCATTTCTATTATATTTAAGCAGTTTAGTTACAATTTTGTTGCAACAACAAGTCAAAATGTCGCATCTCTAGTACTGCACCATTAAAATCTAATCTAATTGGTTACAACCAACTACAACAGCGTGTATTAGATTGCACGTTCCTTGTTTTATAATCATCAGAAAGATATTGCGTGTGAACACATTACATACGGTTCCATTCAGCCATTTTGATTAATTACAAAAGTGTCCAACACTAATGTCCATTGCTGATAATTAAAATATGTGTACAGATAATACTATAATTATAATATTAACGCAATTACTTTGAACTTAATCATAGGTCTTGCAAAGGAATACCGAAAAAAGGTACATACCTGAGTTTTTTTTGTTAAGGACGTTAAATGGAATTGAATTTTTCCATGTGTTTTTAAGATTTTTTTCAGTTTTTTTTTAACTTATTACATATATTATAAAGTAGCATTGGTGGATGCGGCACTCTATTCTTTGCCAAGTGTTTGCGAACTTTCCACTGTTCAACATTCTGTTATCAAACCCCCCCTCCCCCAAACCCCCCCCCCCCCCCAGGGTTTTCTGTGGCTCCCTATTTCCCTGACTTAGCCTTCCTGGATGATTTCTTTGAAAAGTGCTTGCTTTTGAATGTTCGTAAGTTCTTGTGCTGCAGATTCTTTAAAGCCAGGGACTGTAGGAAAATTTTTTTTTTTTTTAAATATGTTGTACAACTGATGTTTGACACAAAAAAGATATTTGACGAAAAACTTAGAAGCGGTTAGATATACAGATTTTTGATATTTAAAACTGGGAAGAAAAGGGGCGTAATTACCCTTCTTTCACTTCCCCCCCCCCCCCAGTTTTCACTAATTTTTTTGCACTACTCACTTCTATTCGGAAAATGTTTTCTCCCATTTGAAAATTTCTGGATCCGCCCCTGACAGTTACAAACAAATCATCAAAGTAGAAAGAAAACAACACAAGCAAATTCAAAAGAAAATTCAATGTAAAACTGTTAGTTAATTTTTGGTTTGTTTGGAAGTTCAATCCAACTTTTTAAGATTTTCAATTTGAAAATGTTCTTTTTAATGCATTGACAAATATTCAAGTAGTACAATTAAATCGTTATAAGTAAATTTGAAGATGTGTGCATTTTAAATGGATTGTGATTACATTATTGATTTATTAATTTCAATCATGGTATTACCTTGAAAAGTTAATGAAATACTGCAGAAGCTCAATCAACACTTGTACTTAGGCCTAAAATAGCTTCTGCAGCTAGAGACTGAACGGAAATTTGATGACACATTAAACAATGGAAACCTGTCAGAAAATATAGGATTTTTTTACTATAGAAGTTATCAATGGTAGTTAATTAGACTTTGATTGTAACAGGTACAATAATGAAATATAAATAATAACAAAATTAAATAAATAATGAAAAATATAAAACTCATATTCTTAGAAAAGAGATTGGTGAAAACCGTTAAATCCAGACACCAAACCAAACATTAAACAATGACAAAGCATCAAGTATAGATTCCTTCACAGCATCAGCCTATCAAAAAGTAATGCATATGCAATAAATGTGGATAAAAGCATGGTATAAAAATCTAACACACTTGATATATATTTTCAGTAATCAATCCACTTTATTTCTTTATAGACTTCGGAATTCTGTTGAAGATGAAAAAGCAGATTTTTCAATGGAACCCTTGCCAGATGTAAAAGCAGTTGAACAAAGTGATTTGAACACACGCAGGGACAGTGGGCTAGAGAGCTTCGAACAACAAATCACAGCTTTACATATTGGAATTCTAGAGCTCGTTGAAGATATGAAAGAGGAGAGGCAACAAATACAGCAAAATTATGTGCCGAGTGCAGTGTGCAAACATCTGGAGCATGGAGTCAAAGAAATGGAGATAGCTGTACTCAAGGTTCTCAGTACAAACGAATACCTTGAAAAAACTATTCAGGTACTTGCTACTATGTTCAGGACTTAATTCATTCACATCTAAAGGCCAACTCGGACAGTGTATGCAATAGTAGCACCAACGGGAGGTGGGGGTATTCCCCGTCATCCGATGTCACAAATAATTTGTCAGATCAAAAATATTAATTTGCATATCCAGATATGTTATTTTGATTGCCAATACCTAATAATGTAGTCTAAAAGCAAAAATTTGGGCCATAGTAATCCATACAAAACTCTCCCCAATAACCCTTCCAGAGATTGTTTTTATTCCAAAAACCCTGACCAAGGCTTGAGTTGGCCCCTTGCTTCGCACCCTTCTGTCGGACATGTTAGAGCCCCTGTCGGCAAATTTATGCCAGCTGTCGCTTTCTGAGTTGACCTTAAATAACACTTTCGGTATAAAACTCACCAATTTTATAGGATAAATGTATCTGGCACACAATGCTTGAATCACTTAAGACAAAATATTGTATGGAACACGAGCTACAGACTTTCCGCAATATTCCTACCAAGATACCAGTGTTTTCATGTAATTCAGTTTATAACATTCTAAATACCGTCACATGAATGCATGCTAAATATTTCCCAGCACAGAAGATGTGGAAATTTTATTTCTCGTTTAAATCGGGTATTAGATCTGGCTGATTTTATCTAATGAGGTAATTATTATTCATTGTCAAGAGACATGGAAAGATAATGTGTTTAGTATTAAATATCGTAAAACCTCAAATAGAAGCACAGTGGGCTTAATCTTGAATTGAAAAAGAAGCCCTTCTCGAAAAGAATCCCAAAAAAAGAAGGGCCATAGGGCTTCTATTCAAGGGTTTACGGTATGAACAAGTGTTTTTATTAAATATGTCTAACCATACATATTCTGTAGCTTTGTATCATTCTTTTTTTATTAATTTCAATAAAGTATAAAACATACTACTTTTCCCTTTGGCCAACTAGAGTACATTTCTCTGAAGAAAGAGTAGAAACTAAATATATATGTTGGCATTTTGAGATTATTATCTTGTACAGTGTATGTAATTCTAACCCCATCCCCTTAGCATTTGATCTGATGTTTGATTTGTATGTTTCTGTTTAAAATGATGACAAAGATGGAACAACAACAAACTCTTAATATCAATCAATCCAAGGCTTCTGTCACATTGCAGTAATTACCATATCAAGTCTAGATCCTTACTGACTGAGAGAAAAGGATTAAATTAATTTTTTTTTAACTTGCATGTTGATAAAAATATTTCCCAATTCATTAGATCTATATGCCAGGTACTTTTTTGAAAAAAAGGAAAACAATTTGATGATTAAAAGTTTGTGTGTTAATCTTTATTAGAACTTGCAATCAGTGTTGACATCATTTATCCATTGTGGGTAGAGTGTTTGCATCCAAGAAAACCAAGACAAGACAGTATCCTAATGACCTTGAATCCCAGACCAATTAATTTTACCTTTTTAGTTTGATTACATTGTCTATGACTAGGAAAATTAATTAAATCACCATGAACAGCAAATGCATTAATTTTATTTGTGCTCTTTAAAAAATATGATTTTTTTTTTCACTTGAGGGGTGGGAAATTTCCAACAGAGACCATAGGAGAATTTATAGAAAAACCCTCATAGTGCCCAAGTGGCTAAGCCCCAGGTGCAGAGAAAACTGGGTACAGTATTTTTGCCATTTTCATATAGAATCATTAAATCACAATGGAAAGGGCTTAAAATGACAAAAGATGAACATTAAAAACCGTTTATGAAAATGATAATTGCCTTTGAACACAAGACACATTATTAATTTGTCTTGTAATACTTAATCATAAATATATCAATCCATCAACCAATATGCATATTAATCAATTCTGCATCAGTAGCTATACAGCATGTCAATTTTAATATGTAATTTCATAATACTGTTTTTGTTTTGCTTCCTTTTTTTGTAATCTCTTCTTTCCAGTACCATATATATTCCTAGTACAGACATCTGTATATATATCTCTAATACATTGTTGTTTTTGTTGTTGTTAATGTCGTTGTTTTCATCGTCGTATGATAACATGTCCCTCAGATCAAAGGCTCTCACATTATTATTATGAGATGGTGTTGTCAGAGTAGTTCTAATTATAATGTATTTCCTGTGTACTTCTTATCCGCAGCAACTGGAAATAGACATTGAGAAAGTCATGGAAAAAGCAAGCATAGAAGATGCAGAGAGCAGGTAAAATATGTCTATGAAATATGAATTAAAACAACTGTATGACAATGTGTGATGTGGTTCCCTTAATAAATACTCAAGGTTGTAGTTACTTTTTGTATGATAATACCTATCTGTTATTCATCCAAGATTCTGAAAGTATGCAAGAGCACGTTGCATTCAGTGGCTTATCTATCTATTTAGATTATCTATCTATTTAGTCTTATAGTGGGGGTGCTGAGGGGGAGGGGGCGCGCGAAGGTGAAGTGGAGTGGCTCGATGATCAGTTGAGGGGCGATAACTCGTAAAATAGGTGATTTTAATTGATTTTTAACTACTTGACCATGATTTTTGGGGGAGCAAATAGTGGGTGGGGGGCCCCACAAGTAATTTTTGGAGGAGGCCCCACGCAACCCCCTAGATACGCCGCTGGTTGCATTGAGCCTCACATTGATATTGAGATGCCCCGAACACTACTTCTAAGGGAAGGGGTTAGTTTTTTGTTCAATATCGTATATTCATATGCAATGAATGCTTGCACCTTTGGAGACTTGTTACTTTATAGCACTTTTCATTGCAGTTACAAAGTACCCTCCATATTGATGAAGTTTTGCCCCCCAAGTACAGCCCAACCCAAACGATATACAACAGAGTATGCTTTCATACTGTAATATGTTATTTTGTAAATTTGTCATGGTTTGTGAAATTGTTGTTAAAAGTAAACTTTAAGAAAATTTTAAAATGTTATGCAGTTGTCCCATGTTTGATATTTAGATATAAGTTAAATATTAATGAAAAATGAGAATATAGATACAAAATAAATAATTATAAAATATTTATTGTGATTTTTGCAGGCAAGTGTGGAAGGCCATCAATACTCTGTCAGTGCCTATGGAGGAAGGGGATCCACCAACACCCCGATGACATGTCAATGAGTCTACGACTGTATACATCTACACGACATGTTCACAAGTGCTTTATACATCTACACAACATGTTTGCAACTGTTGTATACTGTACATCTCGTCATCTTCATCATTGGCAACTTTTTTTCTATTGATGATTGTTCATCTGTTGTCTCAACTTTGAATGGTTTCATCATTAGTTCTCTTGTTTGTTTAGACCAGTATATAATAATTTTATGACAAGACAAACAATGTTTCCTAAATAATAATATTACAACAAATTATATTTGGAATAGTGAGAGTTGCTGTAGTACATTTCATACAATTGTATTATGTTACTTATGAACAAATATGGGATCTAATACCCTATTCAGAATAGCATCGCATTGCAATTGGTTGTTGCACGATCGGTTGTAGCAATTGCGACAACCAATCGCTTTTGTGTGTAAAAGTTCGAAAATAGTAGCAATTGTTACCCGTTGTGATTACCATAGAATCCGATCGCAAAGCATCACAACAAATTCCACAGGCACTGGTTGGCCGATGTCAGTCATCAGGTCTAGCCACCATTTTACTGCCGTTTGACCAAGGACTTTTAACTGTTACCAGGATAGGAAGCTGGCTGGTTTAAGCCATCTAACTTGAATTAGCCTTATGTGCAGTATTGTTATGCAAATGAGCCAGATAAGCACAATCTGCACATGCTCAGAAAAACAAAACTTTCCTTAATAGTCACACCATGGCCACACTGCATATTGACATACCCATGCCATACCTGTGTCTCATGTAATAGTGAATGTTTGGATTTAGTTTGTTGTAATTTATATTTTTCATGTTGTTAACATGGCATTGAATGGTGCTTGGTCATTTTATCTTTGGGATAATCACTACCGTTGTTTTCCAAAACCATTGGGTTAAGCTTGGTCTCCACAAAATCGCTACACCCTATCGCCGACAGCTTTCGGCAACGCTGATTGGTCAGTCGGATCTGTGAGCCTTCCCTATTACGCTGTGAACAGCTGCGCAGTATAACGATTGCAGTAAAGAACCTGTAGTGATAATGTAGTGGTTTTATGGAATCCAGGCTTTACAGGTTGCCTTTAAATAGTACTTCACATATTCATGAAAGAAATTAATGACGTACAGTATTAGATAAGTTGCTTTTTAACAATAGCACTGTACAGTATAGTATATATTTATTATTCGACAGAAGGCACGTAATTCTAGATGTTGTAGAATATTTTAAAAAAAGGTTTAGTTGGTTTTTTTTTTCATGACTAAATTTAATGTAGCTTTTTGTAGCAATTCTTGATTCTTGTTTGCTTCCTATAAATGTTATATTTTTTGCAAAGTTTGAAAGTCACACAAATATACAATACATAGTTCATATTTAATTGTTATTGAGTAGATTTGTTATTGGTTGTAAAAATATTCTTGACAAGAAATTCCTTCTTTCTAAATATGTTTGTTAAACATACATGTTATTAAAAGACAAAAGAAAGAGCTGACTACATTTTGGTCACCATAAAGTATTTATTTTTACGTATATAAACTGGCACTTCAGCCCTCTAGAGGAAACACGTGCATAGCTGTTCGTTATTGATGAAGTGCATGTAGCACACAAAAGGTTTGTGCCTTAGCTCCTATTCCCCACCACTGGTGGTTAAGAAAAAAAAACACATTTAGGTACCTGTAGTTACAGTACAAAATCACCTCGTAACACCTTATTTTGCCTACTAGCACCCCTGACTGCCCTCACCCATCAGTCCCCAATGTCAATATTTCACTGCCCCTATCCCACCTGATGAAAATCAATTCTTTATCCACTACACATGCAGTGGTGGCTGTAGGATTTTTTTTTTTTTTTTTACGTGGCATACATAGATTCGGTCAAATTGCGTCCTAGAATCTATGCAACGAAAACTTGAATGCGCAGATGACTTTTAGTGACGTCATTACGGTCTGCCATCGTCGTGCAGTCGAAAGCTCCCTAATGTTAACTTTAGCATGCAACATCCCCAGCTAAGGATTTTATTTTTTAATAGGGGCCTCTAGATGGCCAGAAATAGCACTCTCGGACTTCTCGGCTCATTAAAATCTGCATTATACTATACTTAATATTTTCAAAAATACTGACTAATTGACTGTTAATTGATTACCATGAAAATCAGGTGTATATCATATCCACAAAATTGTATGTTATGTTCTAACTTCATTTCAACATGTTTGTAGCGTCTTGTCTTATTGTCAATTGTAAAAAGTTGTGCAATGCAATGACGGGATGAACATCATTATTCCAAGAAATCACGATCTACATACTCCTCAATAAATTTCTTATCGGTGTAGCATCAAAATGTAGTATGCTACACATTTGTAACAATGTAAGTCACACATGGTGGAAAGTGCTAGATTCATTATATTGTTAAATGTAGCATGCTACCATCTTTTAAAAGTTCATTATGAGTCTTAGAGGAGTGTCGCATGTAAACCTTTTCCGAGTCACTAGGGCACATAGGGCTGGAGCCTATCCCCAGTTTCAAGTAGCATGAAGCGGATGAGAGTGTGTTGCATCCCCTTGGTAGGACACTGGTGACCGCAGGTTACTCCCACCAATTTGCTGGTACAGCTTGGTAGACTGAAGCAATGTAGATATAAAGTGCACTGCGAAGGATCAACAACCCGACCTCGAGTTTGGGAAACCAACCATTCCCACTGCGCACAACAGCCTCCACAAAATTAAAATCCTCCAGTATAAATGTAGCATGCTTCCATCTCCTAAAAGTTCATTATCAGTCTTACAGGAGTTTAGCCTGCTACCTCAATATATTGCTTCATCGAATGCTTTTCTCGCTTTCTTTAACTCTTCGTTCATTGTAAGGAGGTCACGAACTCTGGAATATTTTCTTGAGTCTTTACGAATAAGGAACACGATATCTTCCACCTGGACACGCCCTCGTCTACCGACCTCCATTGCTTTATGTGTCTAGAAAACATAAAACAGTTAAAATAATTAATTCTGTTATTATTATTATTGTTGTTATTATTATTGATTTTTAAATTTCTATAGCCCCGGTTAAAACGGAAGTTGTCACTAGCATTTTACAACCTATTACACAATAATGAAATAATAACAATAATAGTAAATATAAATGAAATAATAACAATAATAGTAAATATAAATAAAATAACAACAAAATAACAATATTTAAATGTTTATTTACACTACAGCAATCAAACAACACTTTAATTGCACATACCATCTCAGTTATAAATTCCATGACCAAATCGTCCAGTAAATCCACCGATTCCGTGTAAGGATTCTGATCATCACCAAATCCATACATCATGCACCGCACTGAAAAGGTACGACAACAAATTAAAGCATGCAGCAGCAAAGGATTATTATTTATTTATTTTAGTTTCGGCTTCTTCACATACGATATACTGTAAGGAAATTTTTATATAATTTTGGGGGGTGCACCCCTTAGATACGCCATTGGGAGAAGGTACTGTACACTAGGGGTTTGCTGAAAAAATATTTTGGAAAAATTGTTTGAATGATTATATCATTGCCACAAGGCTATACTGTAATTTTTTTTTTTTCAGGGGATGATACCTCAAATTTGCATGGAAAATCGCTAAGAAAATAGGTGCACAGAATCATAAATAGTACAGTACTCCATCATTGTTTATATATTATTAAGAAATAGGTCCAAGCCCAATTTTTGGCAAAATCTAAGCAGAAATTGGCCCTCATTTTCCAAAATGCATGGACAGATTTCTATATTCTCCATGCAGGCCTTATTATATAGTCTGGCCACAAGGCAAGGGCATTAATTTTATTTTTCTTATTTAGAGACTGTGTCACACATGATTCACTTACATTCCTTTGAAAACATTCTTTTCTTTTTGTCTGGTGCTTCAGTTGAACTTTCACCGCTGGGTTCAGTTTCTTGAGTTTCTGGCACAGTTTCTTTTTCTGTCTGCAATTGTTAATTTTTTTTTTTTTTAAAGTTGTATCCATATATTTACTCAAACATTTTCACACACACACATAACCTATACCAAATTAACGGTTACAAAAACAAACAATTTGCTGAACATTCAATTTCCTTCGTTGAAGAAGGATGAATAAAGTTTTACTTTTGACTGACTTTTTAAAACACTATACAAAAATAAAATATAAAATATAGAAGTTTACATATTATAATTATTCATTTCTAATTATTATATCCGTGAATAAATTGCTATTTTAAACTCAATTATTAAGCACGAGATCTACTTCGGGGTACGAGCTGTCTAGCTAGAGGTTTATTGCAAGGCCGAACGTGCACCGGCAGCACGTACACGGTAGACCCATGCATGCGTATGGCATCTCTCTATCTAGCCTAGCCTAGTAATTTTGTAGGCCTAGGCCTAAAGCCTAGTTAGTAGAGGCCTGGAAAAATAATACTCGTAGAAACTTTTTGCAATAACATATATAAAATAATTATCCAAACTGAAGCTTACTTCATTCATTGTATCTGAACCAGTATTGCTCATACCAGAAACAAAATATGAAAATCTAAACAAAGAACAACCCGCATATCACGACTGATCGATGGGAGCTCAAAGTTTGTGTTGATGGGCGCTTCTCCCATGACTTGCTTCAACTTTGGCTTTTAAATAATATTCATCTTTATATATGATAGTAGATTTTTTTTTAAATAAAATTGTTAGACCATATACAGTATAAAAATAAAGTAAATATATTATGCTATTTGAGGTGACTAATTGTATTTTTTTATTTATATTTAATACAAAACATCTCGTAACTACAATTAAGCTGTTTACTAATTACGTAATCATTAGAACTCAGGGAATGCCAGAACATGGCCAGAACCATGGCCAGAACCCAGAACCAGTCAATTCGAGCGAATGACAGTTCGAGCGGATGCATTTAGTGCGAACTATAACAAGGGCGAATTTATCGTCGCTCTATTCTTGTAATTGTTAATGTTTTAAATGCAAAAAATATTATGTGCACTAAAGTTCTAAAATGTTTTTGGTACTTTTTGATAAATATTCCATGTTTGAATTACAGTCTTGGAAAATCCGCCAGTCCCTGTTGTGTGACAATAGTATCAACAGCACAGCAATAGATCATACCAATTTCTCCACTATTTACCATTCATCTATCCTGGTCTCTTTATAGTTCAAAACCCACTTTTTCAAAACTTAGAATGTGGAAAGAATAACAATTAATACTAAACATTATTTTTATGAACATAGGTATGTTTAATTGTAAATTGTTAACCTTATAAATCAATTAAATACGAATTTTTTTTGTACATAAGGCTTCTTCCCCGGAACCCACCGGGGCGTTTCCCCTGGCTCCAGTGGCGTATCTAGCTGGGGGTGCTGAATAGGGGCGCGAAGCAGGGGCGGATCCAGAAATGTCCAAAAGGGGGGGCCGGAAGCGGGGGCCGAAAGTTGGGCCGATTGAGACAACACAGTCGTAGGGGGTCTGGGGCATGCCCCCGCGAAATTTTTGTGTTCTAGACGCACGAACATAACATTTGAGGCATTCTGGGCTATCAGTTTTTTCTTTTTCTCTCTTTTTTTTC